CACACACACACACACACACACACACACACACACACACACACACTGCATCTTGGTCACAACACGGACGTGTTCAAGGTACAGCACAATGTTAGGGATTTTTGTCTTAAAGGTGGACAAGCATCTGCTACCAACCGCCTCATCTGAGGGCCCAACTGATGTAATTTGATTTAGCCCTGTATTCTTTCTCCGATACCCCTCTCTTTCTTTCCCGGACCACCATCCTACCCTGTCTACCCAGTCACATCCATGCAACCCTCTATTGGCTTGCAAAAGAGCGCTTTCGTTATAGCTCGGTTTTCTTTTCTTAAGCACAAATGTGTGAGGGTATAGAAGGGAAGGCTTCTCAGGAGGAGCATGCCAGCGGATTGGGTGGCTGGAGCAGACTAAAGCAGTTATGTGCCGAAGGAAGAGGTGATCTTTCCCATTTTGATAGGCCTTTATAGGAAGAACAAAATACACATGTAAGGATTTTTTTTTTCCTTTTGTAAAAGCAAAAGCCACATCTCTTTTCTAGATCCTTCAGGACTGGTGTTCGTTTGCTTCCTTTTCTGTTTTTCTCTTCTCGCTGCTCTGTGCCCTTGGTTGTTTCGTGGTCGTCCTATCGCGTCCTTCGTGCCCCCTCGGCCTCCTGCCGGCCGCCGGTGGGTGCAGGCGGACATCTACAATCCTGCAACTTTGTACAGAGAAACACAATCAGCTCCTTCTGCATGTGCTGGTCAAATCCAAACCCAGAGAACAGAAGCGCTTTCTAAGAATGAACAAACATGTGAAATAGGATGTTTTGTGTAGATAAAGCATTCTTGTTACATACTGGTCAATTTGTGATATGTTTTAACTTATTGTCTGTGCTTATTTATGGAATTTGGTTTTCTTAATAAATGTTTGAGCTAATATAAAGCATATTATTTGACTTTTCCGGACAAGTTTATATCAAGTTAAATGTAAATGGATAAAAATAAAACCATTTTCAGTATGTGATACAGAGAATGATGGGTTTTGGTGTAACTTTGGCAGGAGGGTCTCAGAGGAGCGGGGAGAGGGCTAATCCCAACTTGAACGATGGTGGTTGGGGTGCCTGGGCCCCTCGCTCCTACAGTAGACTTGGATTTACTTTCTGGGTAGCACCGTGAGGCCTCCATAGTAAGGCTGCCTGATGTGCCTGCTGTGACCCGGGCCTGCAAGGCCTGTCAGGCAGGAAGTGTGGAAGCCCGGCCGGGAGCGTTCCACGCGAGCTCAGAGGCTTTGGGCCTAAGGCCGGGATCTGGGCAGGGCAGGAGGGCAACACCGGGTCAAGAGTGGGCCAACACCGGTCGGAGTGAGGCACAGAGGGCGCCCCTCGCGGACTGGGACTGCATGGCGCCTGAGGGTAGGGCTGTGGGCACGAGGAGGCCGCGGTTAAGAAGCCTTAAGGGCCGGGTCCTGGGAGCTTGGGTGCAGCGCCCCAAGGGCATTCTGGCGTCCTGACAGCCCTCGCCCGGGCAAACGAGGGATCCGGGATCCGAAGAGGTGGTGTGGCTCCCCGGGCGGG